GAAAATATATTCAAAGTGTTAAGTGAAAAACAATTTCAACCAAGAATACTATATTATATTTCATATGGGAAAAAAAGACAAAAACGTTCTCAGATAAACAAAACCCAAAAGAATTTACCAACACCAGACCAACTCTCCAAAAAGTGCTTAGGGGAGTGCTTTGCCAGGAAAACTAAAGTTGGACACAGAAATAAGAGTACAAGAAACAACCAAGAGAATGGCCAGCCTAATGGTAGAGACAAGTCTGGAGTTGAATGTTAACGTCCAGAGTTTAAATAGAAAGATCAGACTACAGTTTCACTGAAAATTCAATGGAAGAGATATCAATTATGTGAGTTTAAACTAGTGAAATAGAATTTTTTTTACTTTAAACTAAAACATTACTGATTTTCTTCAGTGCTTTGATTTCCATATTTAAGGATTTTTGCCCTCTCTTGAAATGTTGATAGGCTAAACTATAATGCTCAGCAGGTTAAGTGTCTGAAGTGCATCTTCAACTTACATTATTTTCAACTTTTGATAGGTTTATGAGGACCTAAGTTGAGGAGCATCCATGTATGTACCATTGTCAGTAGATCTGTAGGATAAAATCCCAAAGATGAGATTGGAATTTTGAAAGATGTAATCAAATTGCCTTCCAAAGTGATTATACAAATCTGCAATCACTCTGGCAATGTTTACAAATTTTTGGATTAATTTTTTGTGACATTCTAGCCCATAAGAAACCGTATCTCTCTGTATAGAACCTTACTATGAATGTTGTTGAGCATATTTTTGTATATTTGAGACAATATGTAAATCATATTCTATGAATCATTTGCTCATCTCTTCTAATTGGACTGTTAGTGTTTTGTGTTTTGTTTTAACTTATTATTATAATTATTTTGGTGCTTCTTACATATTAGGGGGATTTGCCATTAGACATTTGTCTGTAATATAAATGTAATTATTTTTTCCAGTTTGTCATGTTTATTTACTTTTTTCAGGCAATAGCAATGATTAATCTTTTTAGTTTTTGGATTCTGAAGTTAGGTCCCCTTCATTGTATAGTTTCAAAGTAATCTGCCCAAGCTTCAGCCTTTATATTTTAATTTGTTTTGGTTTTAAATTTTGACTCAGTTGCAGGAAATTTAAAAATTGGTTGATCTGAGAGACAGCACTGGGGTAAATGAGAGCTGGACAGATACTGGGTGACTTTGTGCCTTGCAGAGGAAAGATAACTAAACATGGGCAAAGGAGATCCTAAGAAGCCAAGAGACAAAATGTCATCATATGCATTCTTTGTACAAAGTTGTCAGGAGGAGCATAAGAAGCACCCAGATGCTTCAGTCAACTTCTCAGTGTTTTCTAAGAAGTGCTCAGAGAGCTGGAAGACCCATATCAGCTAAAGAGAAAGGAAAATTTGAAGATATGGCAAAGGTGAGCAAAGTCCATTATGAAAGAGAAATGAAAACCTACATCCCTCCTAAAGGGGAAACAAAAAAGAAGTTCAAGGATCCCAATGAACTCAAGAGGCCTCCTTTGACGTTTTTCTTGTTCTGTTCTGAATATCGCCAAAAAATCAAAGGAGAACATCCTGGCCTATTGGTGATGTTGCAAAGAAACTGGGAGAGACATGAAATAACACTGCCGCAGATGATAAACAGCCTTATGAAAAAGAAGGCTGCAAAGCAGCAGGAAAAGTATGAAAAGTATATTGCTGCATACCGAGCTAAAGGAAAGCCTGATGCAGCAAAAAAGTTCTCAAGGCTGAAAAGAGAAAGAAAAGGAAGGAGGAAAAGGAAGATGAAGAAGAAGAGGAAGATGAAGAGGAGAATGATGAAGCAGATAATGACTATAAGTAAGTTGGTTCTAGAGCAGTTTTTCTTTTTCTTGTCTATAAAGCAGTTAACCTCCCTATATACAACTCATTCCTTTTAAAGAAAAAAATTGAAATGTAAGGTTGGTCAGATTTGTTTTTAAACTGTACAATGTCTTTTTTTGTAGAGTTCACACATGATTGAATGTGTCTTTAGATAGCCCTGTCCTGGTGGTATTTTCTTTTTTCTGAAATTTTTAAAAGAATTATTTATTTTACTTATTCATTCTTTTGTTTGTTTGTTTGTTTGTTTTAATTTGATGAGAGAGAGAGACAGAGACAGAGTGAGAGAGAGGGAAAGTGAGAAAGCAAGCCACCAGGTCCAGACTTGAACCGTGGTTGGTCATATGGGAGTGTCCAGCACCTTAACCACCATGACACCTGCTGGCAACCTGGTGGTATTTTCAATAGCTATTAACCTTGCCTGGTACAGTATGGGGATTGTAAATTGGCATGGAAATTTAAAGCAGATTCTTGTTGGTGCACAGCACAAATTAGTTACATATGGGGATGGTAGTTTTTTCACCTTCAGTTGTCTCTAATGCAGCTTATATGAAATAATTGTTCTATTAACTGAATAGCACTCTACTTGCAAACAAAAACAACTACAAAACAAGTTGCAGGTGTTTTGTTGACATTCTGAATCCTTTAAGTAAATACAATTTTTTTTTATTAGTGAAAAAATTGGTTTGATCTGGATTAAAAAAATGGTTGATCTGAATAGGCTCTTTCAGAGACTTTAAACTTCTTTCTCTCTTTTTTTTTCTGTCTTAAGAGAGATTTTTGCAATAGGGTGTGTGTACTCACCAGAGACAGAGAGACAGAAAGCAAGAAACCACCCCCAAGGGGAATGGCTGGGCAGCAATCCCTTCTCCATTCTCCTCTCACTTACCAGGTGTCAGTTTCAAGCCACAGGGTCCAGGACTTCAACCGTGGTCGACTATGTGGGAGTCCAGCAATAAACTTATCTCTCTCTCTCTCTCTTTTTTTTTTAATAATTATTTCATTTTATTCATTATTATTATATCTTAATTTGTACATAGAGAGAGAGGGAAAGTGGGAGAGCAAGCTGCCAGGTCCAGGACTCAAATCACAGTTGGCCACGTGGGAGTCTAGCACCTTAACCACCATGCCACCTGCTGCCCCGTTTGTTTCTCTCTCTCCCTTTTTTTTAAAAGTACTAACTTATTTAACTTTATTTATTTATTTTAATTTGACTAGAGAGGGACAGAGAAAAATGCAAGCTTGTGCAGTAACACCTGCCGGCCCCAACTTGTATCTCTTTAAACCATGGTTTCTCTTCAGAAAATGGGGACTGTCTAACTCATTTCTCTGTTAACTGGAATAGCTGCAATAGTCCACGCTTCTTCTCAAACTTTAAAGTCATTTTTAGTTTAGAGTCTCCCAAATCCGCTGCCTTAATCCTCCCCTAAGGCCCCAACAGGTTAAAAGAACCGAAAACACTGAATTGACTGTGGCTCCAGAACCTAGGCTCTAAGAACAGGCAGACCACCCAAAAAATGTTTCTTTGAAAACTACAGTATTTATTTTTTAAGAAAGCTATTTTTTAATTCCATAAAAGATGTTTCTGTTTTTACATAAATCTAGTTCTAAATCATTATCAGTTTGGGAACCAGCAGTTAGTGTAATGGCTATGTCGCTGGACTCCCACATAGTCGACTGCAGTTCGCGTCCCCAACCCGGTGGCTTAAAACCCACGCCGGGCGTGTGTGCGTGCGTGCCCAAGATCCCGAGAGGAGAATGGGGGAGAAGGGATTGTGGCGTGGCCATCCCCCCTGGGGGGTGATTTCTCGCTTTCTGTCTCTCTGTCTGTCTAGCGCACGCGCCCTTTATTGAAAAACCTCTCCAAAAAAAAAAAAAAAAAATCATTATCAGCTCGATTACAGTATCTGTCTCCTTTCAAATCTTCAAGAAAAATAAAAGCTCCAGGAAAAGCCATCCTTGTTACTATTTTATAAATGAGATCTCTAGATTACACTCCAATCTATAATCCCAATGATATATAATTATAATTACAGGCCAGCCATGGCCTGATGATTAAAGAGTCCTGATTCCACATGGCCAAATGATCAGCTGGGGTACCTGACAGGTGGCTTGAAAAACCCGGCAGGACCAGCAGTTAGCATAACGGCTATCTCGCTGGACTCCAAGGTAGTCGACCATGGTTCGCATCCCGTGGTTCGCATCCCTGACCGGTGGCTTAAAGCTCACTCCGCGCGCGTGGCGCGTTTGCGTGAGTGCCCAAGATCCCGGGAGGAGAAGAGATTGCGCTGTGGCCATCCCCCCTGGGGGGTGATTTCTCACTTTCTGTCTCCCTGTCTCTCTCTGTATGGCAAGCGCACACGCCCTTATAGCGAAAACCTCTCAAAAAAACCCAACAACAACAACAAAACAACCTGCCAGGCGACTGGCATGCCCGAAATGGAGAAAAGGAAAGATCAGAAGGGATTGGGATGTGACCATCCCACATGGAGGTGCTTTCTCACTCACTTTCTCTCTCTGGAGAGCAGGTGCCCTCTGGCAAAATTATTAAAAAGAAAGACAGAAAGAAAGAAAAGAAAAACATATACGTATCAAATCCTGAATGCAGTTTTTCTCTCTATGACTCTCCCCCCCCCAACACCTTAAAACCGCACACTCGGACTATCTGCTTACTGCAATCCTTATCATGCCCCTGTCCTCCACCATTCACACAAGTCAAATCAGAACACCACCAGCCTCTTCACAGTTTCAGAAACTCCTCTTCTACAGCCTCTTCGACCTTGGAGTACGTTTAGCCATTTCTCCCTTAAGATTCCCCAATCCCGTTGCAGGTTCTAGGTTTCCTCCCCTTCAACCTCCCAGACTAGCTATGGGTATCACGACCTCGGTCCCCAAACCCTCGTGCACTTGTTCCTCCAAGCTAAACTCACCCCAAAGCACAGGCCGACCCCGGAAGTCTCTGCCAGCGGCACTCGGAGGGCGCATTACTATCTCACTTTTCTCTCCTAAAACACCATGAAAAGTGTAGATGAGGCAAATCGGACCTCCCCTGCTCCAAACTACACTTCCCAGAAGGCTCAGCAGGGCAAATTCTCCCCTAACGCGAATCTGCCCTACTCTTCCCGAGCCTGTCCGGCACCTCGGCGAGCAGGGCGGGTCTGGGAAGGAAGCACGTCTCCAGCGCGGCGGAGTGGCTTTCTTTGTGAGACCCTGCTCAGGGCTGGGTCCCGTCTGGTGCAGTTGGATGAGGGACGCGATCCTTTCCGCGGGGTCGCAGCTAAATGCTGATAGGAATCCCAACGACCTGGGGCCCACTTGTCCGCCTCCGGTGCGTCTCGGACTACGTTTCCCAGAGGGCCCCTGGGCATGCCGGTGCCTCTCCCGAGAACTCGGCCTCCAAGTCACGCGCTGGCGGGACCCTTCGGGCTGCACCCGCAAGTACCCCAAGGGTCTTGCTGCTCTGGAAGCGTGGAAGGCCTGATGTGAGGACCCGACGACAGAACGGGGCGTTTACCTCGGCTTTGGGTGGCGGAGGAGGTGAGATTAAAATTGTGTGGTTGTGTCTGTGCGGTGATGTGTGGTGAATGAGTGTGCGGTTGTGTCAGGTTGTTTCCGTGATTGTGTGTGTTTCTTCTAACGAGAACGCCATGTGCACGCCTGGGACTTCTCATGTGTGGTGTGTGTGTGTGTGTGTGTGTGTGTGTGTGAGAGAGAGAGAGAGAGAGAGAGAGAGTTAGTGACAGATGAGGGAGGCTGGAGAAAGATTGGGACCATGGGCATGTGCGGCATTGTGCTGACCAGTATGAGGAGCTTGTGACTGGTTGGGTGTTAACGAGTTTCTCTGCGTAGTGTGGTTATTATGAACTTGTGCAGCCGAGTAAAAAATCCTGTGACTACTGTCACAGGGGTGTGTGTGTGTGTGTGTATGTGTCTGATCAGTGTGTGAACGTGACAGTGTGCAGTGCTTGTAACTTGAATTAGTTGAGTTAGTCCCCTTGGTAAGTATGTGATTGTGTTTATAGGACCTTTTGAGGCTCTGGGTATGCAGCCTTGTTGTTTTGGGTGTGGGTTGTATGTCTCCATAGTGGGAGTGTGATTATGTCATGGGACTCAATTAGTGTGTGAGGTTTAATCGCCTCTCTAAGCATTATACTCTACTTTCCCCCTATTTAAAAAACTCTGTATGGAGCCAGCCCATGGTATAGTGGTTAAGGCAGCAGGATCCCACATGGCTGACTCATTCCACGGTTGGAGTCGCAGACTCTACAGCTTGAGAAACATGCTGGGTGTGTGTGTGTGTGTGTGTGTGTGTGTGTGTGTGTGCCCAGAATTCAGAAAAGGAGAAAGATATCGAGAAGGGATTGCAGTGTGACCATCTCTCATAGGGGGTGCTTTCTCATCTCTCTCTCTCTCTGTCTCAGGCAAGTGCACATCCCCTCTGGCAAAATACCCTGTTGGAGTGCCTCTTTCTGTGTGTGTGTCTCTCTGTCAAAATTAAAAAAAAAAACAAACAAACAAAAAACTACATGAACGTTGTCATACTGTCTTTGTCTTTTTATTTTCCTTATTTGTACAGCTGCGTCTGAGAATCATCAATATTAGATATAATAGCAGTTCATTCCATTTCTTTGCCATATTGCATCTTTTGCTTCTTTGACATAAACCATAATTATTCATTCCTTCTAGTAATGATGGACGTTTGAATTATTTCTAGTTTTTGTTTTATTAACAGTGCTGCCATGAACATTCTTTTACATAGGGTACACATGCTTGAGTTACCTACTAATGGAATTGCTGGGTCATACACATCTTCCAAAATATTACCAAAGTGGATGTACAAATTTATACTCGCGAGCAATCTTTGAAATGTCTTATTGTTCCATACTGTTACCAAAACATGGTACCAGTAGTTTTGAAAAGATTTTAATGAGCTATAGCATATATATACTAAAGTGTACAAATCTTAAGTATACCGCTGTATAACAGTCTCCTAGCTCAATATACAAAACTTGGGGTTGGGGGCAGCAGGTGGTGTGGTGGTTGGGGCACTGAACTCCCACATGGTTGACCATGGTTTAAGTCCCACACCTGGTGGCTTGCTTTCCCTCTCTCTGACTGTTTCTGGTGAGTACACGTGCCTGTAGCAAATTTAACAACTAATAATAAATAAAATTAAATAAATATTTCCATTGTTTTTTAGAAGTTTTGGCCTTAGGATGCATGTGCTTGCCAGAGAAAGAGAGACTGACAGTGAGAGGGAAAGTGAGAAATCACCTCCCCCAGGTAGAAATGGCTGCCAAGTCGCAATTCCTTTTCCACTCTCCTCTTGGGATCTTGGGCACGCATACACATGTGCCTGGCATGATGAAGCCACTGAGTCCAGGACTTGAACTACCGTCAACCTGTGGGAGTCTAGCAACGTAACCGCTATGCCATTTACTCATCCCAATAAATCATTCTCTAAAAACAAACAAACAAACAGACTTTGTCAGGACTCCAGATAGTTTCCTCATGCCTCTACTTAGTCATTTCTCTCCTACAATTATTATTCAGAATTCTTTCTCCACTGTTTGGTTTGGTTTTATCCATCCTTTGTTTTGTTTTGTTTTGTTTTTTTAGTTTAAGCTTTTTAAGTTTATTTTTTCTATGAGCAAGAGAGACAAAGAGCACCCCCAACCCCAATAGAGTCTTAAGTCTGTGATTCACCCCTAGCCTTCAGCCATCCCCATTCCAGGCAAGTGGGTGCCTGGCATACCCAGGGAAGTCCTCAGACTTGAACTGAGAATGTTCCCATGTGGGATTGCTTCACAGTGTGTAGTGTTTTACTGCTGTGTCACTGTTATTATCTATTCTTAAATGCCTGTGTATTTGGAATTACATAGAATGTAGTCTTAGGCCTGGCTTCTTTTGTTCTATATTATGTTTGTATAATTAATCTATGTTCAATGTAATTATACTTTGGTTCTCATTTCATTTGGGGATATATTGCAATATATTATTTGCTTCCACTGTTTATAGCTATTTGGGTAGTTTCAAATTTGGGGCTATTACAAATTGTACTGCTGCTATAAACATTCTATGTTTTTGGTGAATATATAGAATGCTTTTCTCTTGGATAAATATTTATGAGTAGAATTGCTAGATTGTAAAATAGGCATTTTTAAAAATTTATTTATTTAATTTTATTTGTTCATTCATTTATTTTTAGTTTGACCAAAGAGACACAGAAGGAGAAGGAGGGAAAGTGAGAAAGCAAACCGCCAAGTCCAGAACATGAACTATGGTCAGCCAGGTGGGAGTGTCTAGCACCTTAACCATCATACCACCCGCTGGTTCCTAGAATAGGCATTTTTAAATTGATACTACCAATTTCTTGTGTGTTTGTTCCACTCTATGCTCCCTGCAGCAATGTATGAGAGTTCCAGTTGTTCCATATCATCTCCATTATCTGATATTGTTTGTCTTTTAACTGTTGATTGTGTAGTGGGATCTCATTGTAGTTTTCATTTGTGTATACCTGTAGGGTGATGTAAAATTCACAGGTATAGGACCCAGGAGGTGACATGGTAGTTAAGGCTCTGGACTCCCATATGGCTGACTGTGGTTTGAGTCCTGTGGTTTGAGTCCAGCGGCTTGTCTTCTTACTTTCCCTCTCTCTCTCTTAAAATAAATAATTAAAAAATTAATAGGTATATGTGTGTTCTCTCAACTTCATAGAACCTGAATCTTTCATAATAGAAAGTAAGTTTGGGCTGGCAGGTGGCATGGTGGTTGAGAGCGCTGGACTCCCACATGACCGACTGTGGTTCAAGTCCCGGACCTGGTGGCTTGCTTTCTCACTTTCTGTCTCCCTTTCTGTTCGAATTAAAATAAATAAATAAAGTTAAATAAAATATTTTAAAACAAAGAAAAAAATAAAAGAAAATAAGCTTGCTGTAGAAGGAGACTATATTTTCCAAGGCTGATCATTATGTAAATGTCTTGGGAAAATAGTCCAGAACAAAAGCACTTGTTATTTCTGTTTGTAAAATGTGTGGAAACAGGCAAGACCCATGAAGAGTTGTCCCTCATCAAGCTTGGTTATGCCCTTATTTGTTACTCCTTTCTTGTTTTTTAAAGAGAGTTACTTTATTTAACTTTATTTATTTACTTATTTGTTCTAATTTGATCAGAGAGGGACAGAGAGAAAGTGAGAGAGAAAAACAGCAAGCCGCCAGGTCCAGAATTTGAACTGCATTTAGCTGTGTGGGAGTCCGGTGCCCTTAACTACCACGCCACCTGCCGGCCCCTTTGTTACTCCTTTCTACAGTACTGAGAAACATGCTTCTCAGTGTAAATACACATATAGTAGTTTCAGAATTGCTAACCCACACCGTGTTAAAAAAAATTTACTAACTACAATAATGTATTTGTGTGCAACTCTTTTTTTTTCCAACTTAAAATGTATAATCAAAACTTTTTCCAAGAGTTATTCATTTTACTTCTTTCCTTTAGCATCTCCTTCAGTATGGTTTTGATACTCACTTTTATGCACTTAGGTCCATGTATTACATTTTGGGTTGTTCCACTTCCTAACTGCGTTTAGCTGTGTGGGAGTCCGGTGCCCTTAACTACCACGCCACCTGCCGGCCCCTTTGTTACTCCTTTCTACAGTACTGAGAAACATGCTTCTCAGTGTAAATACACATATAGTAGTTTCAGAATTGCTAACCCACACCGTGTTAAAAAAAATTTACTAACTACAATAATGTATTTGTGTGCAACTCTTTTTTTTTCCAACTTAAAATGTATAATCAAAACTTTTTCCAAGAGTTATTCATTTTACTTCTTTCCTTTAGCATCTCCTTCAGTATGGTTTTGATACTCACTTTTATGCACTTAGGTCCATGTATTACATTTTGGGTTGTTCCACTTCCTAGTTGATTGATGCCACAATTTTTTGAGCTTGTAAACATTAACGTGGTTCCTACCCACTCCCTCTCCATAATCAACCTCATTGGTTTTTGCTTTATTCTTCCTATATTTCCTTTCACAAATGAGCACTTACATGTATTCTTTTGAATAACTTCTTTTTTTGAATACTGCTTTTTGTATTAATAGTATATCATAGACATCATAGTAGTTCAAAGAAATAGTTATAAATCCTTTTTTACAGCTGCATAATACTGCAATATATAGATTTATCTTAGCTCATTCAACCATTTTCCTATTTTTGTGCATTTAGGTCATTTATAATATTTTGCTACTAGAAACAATGCTGCAGTAAATACGTGCTGTATTGTTGGAGGGCTATCTTCAGAGAAGCGTTCTGGAATTGGGATTAATGGGTCAAAAGGTTGTGTGTGTGTATACTTTTATTAGGTATTGTCAACTTTCCCTTTAGAATTGTACCTGTTTTCATTTCCACTTGCAGTGTATGAGTGTCTGCCCTCCCTACCTCTAGCCTAGTCAATGAATATGTTGTCATGCTTCTTTAGTTTTCACCAATCTAACAAATGAAGGATAGCACCTCTGTGTTGTTTTCTTATTTCTCATGA